TCTTCTTCTTGGATTCGTTCTTCTTCCTTGCGGGATCTCAGGCAAGATGATCATACCCTCGAAATCACTACTATCTTTGCTATGCTAGTTTGCTCGCTCTTGCTATGCCAATGCTACGATGCCTACCATTTGCTTGTCAGCCTCCCAAATTGCCATGTCAACCTCTAACCCACCATGTCCTAGCAAACCGTTGATTGGCTATGTTACCGCTTTGCTCAGCCCCTCTTATAGCGTTGTTAGTTGCAGGTGAAGATTGAAGTTTGTTCCTTGTTGGAACATGGAGATGTTGTTCCTTGTTGGAACATGTTTACTTGTTGGGATATCACAATATATCTTATTTAATTAATGCATCTATATACTTGGTAAAGGGTGGAAGGCTCGGCCTTATGCCTGGTGTTTTGTTCCACTCTTGCCGCCCTAGTTTCCGTCATATCGGTGTTATGTTCCCGGATTTTGCGTTCCTTACACGGTTGGGCTATAATGGGAACCCCTTGACAGTTTGCCTTAAGTAAAGCTTCTCCAGCAATGCCCAACATTGGTTTTACCATTTGCCACCTAGCCTTTTCTTTCCCTTGGGTTCTGCAGACTCAAGGGTCATCATTTTTTAACCCCCCCGGGCCAGTGCTCCTCTGAGTGTTGGTCCGAACTAGAGCCCTGTGCAGCGCCCCCTCGGGGAAACTCGAGGTTTGGTTTTAGTTGTACGGATTGCTCATCTGAGTGTGCCCTGAGAAAGAGATATGTGCAGCTCCTATCGGGATTTGTCGGCACATTCGGGCGGTGTTGCTGGTTTAGTTTTACCCTGTCGAAATGTCTTGTTGTACCGGGATACCGAGTCTGATCGGAACGTCTCGGGTGGAGGTCTATTCCTTCGTTGACCGTGAGAGCTTGTCATGGGCTAAGTTGGGACACCCCTGCAGGGTATTATCTTTCGAAAGCCGTGCCCGCGGTTATGGGCAGATGGGAATTTGTTAACGTCCGGTTGTAGAAAACCCGAAGTTGACCTTATTTAAAATACATCAACCGCGTGTGTAACCGTGATGGTCTCTTTCCGGTGGAGTCCGGGAAGTGAACACGGTGTTGGAGTTATGCTTGACGTAGGTTGCTATAGGATCACTTCTTGATCATACTTTTATCGACCGTGCTTTGCCTTCTCTTCTCGCTCTCATTTGCGTATGTTAGCCACCATATATGCTAGTCGCTTGCTGCAGCTCCACCTCATTACTCCATCCTTCCTATAAGCTTAAATAGTCTTGATCTCGCGGGTGCGAGATTGCTGAGTCCCCGTGGCTCACCAGATACTTCCAAAACCAGTTTGCAGGTGCCTATGTTACCGTGCAGATGACGCAACCAAGCTCAAGGAGGAGCTCGATGAAGATCTTGCCCTTTGTGTTGTTTCGTTCTAGTTGATCAGTAGTGGAGCCCAGTTGGGGTCGATCGGGGACCTTTGTCGCATTTGGGGTTCTTCTTTTATTTTGGTTCCGTAGTCGGACCTTGATTGTATCTGGATGATGTAATGCTTTATTCATGTAATTGTGTGAAGTGGCGATTGTAAGCCAACTATGTATCTCTTTCCCTTATGTATTACATGGGTTGTGTGAAGATTACCTCACTTGCGACATTGCTTTCAATGCGGTTATGCCTCTAAGTCGTGCTTCGACACGTGGGAGATATAGCCGCATCGAGGGCGTTACATACATGGACAAGGACAAGTTAAGATAACGACGCCTGGATTCGAACACTACAGATGCATTGTGCATGCTTACAGAGTTGTTAAATGATACACTTACCTGAGGTGGTGACTCTGCATTGTTTGTAAACTGGTCGGTAGAGACTTGGCTTTCGCAATCAGAATCACTACAGCAACTTGCCTGCATGCGTGGTTAAAAACAATCAGCGCAAGTATATATATATATATATATATATATATATATATATATATATATATATATGAATGACAGCTAGCTAGAGAAATGATAGCTATATATGGTACTCCTAATGAATCAACTGAAGGTCGACAGTTGAGTTGCTGAACGAGTAAGTATATATATGCAAGGTTGATAATTCAAAATCATCATCTACCGGTGTTTGATTACCTGAAATGAAGAGGAACATAAGTCGTCGTTCCATCTCTTTATGGTGAGGACTGGCCTGTTGGGATGGCGTCGGCTCGCCCGCCTCAGCGCTTTCTCTGCCTTGTGCACCTCCTCGGGGCCGCAGCCCCTGCAGTCGAGGTGGTAGGTGGCCTTCTCGAGCAGGGGCATGTTCCCCCGCAGACCAACGTCGGTCTCCGTCCTGGATGAGGTGCCAACCTCCAGTTCCTGGATGCTTGGAAGCGCTCCGGCTCCGCATATCAGCTCTATGTTGGTGTCGAGGTGTTCCAACACCTTGAATTCGTAACTGCCGGCGGTGTACGACAGGCTGTTGTCCTCAGTGTGGAGGCTCAGGGAGCAGAGCGAAGGCATCTGCCCGAGGATCTCCAGGTCGTGCGTCTTCAGGACTTCCACCTGAAGCAGCAGCTTGGAGAGTTTGGGGACATGCAAGTGGTGGATCCATGGCATCAGCCTGGGTAGGATGATCCTCAAGAGCAGCAGCTCGCGGAGCTGCGGGGAGGGCACGCTGCCTTCCCAGCTGCTGAGGCGGCCCTTCTCCTCTGTCTCTGTGTCGCAACAGACCCGCAGGACCTGAAGCTTCTTCAGTTTATGCAGGGACGCCACCAGCACCTTCTGCATGCCCTCGTCCATCTCATCGAAGTGGATTACCAGCACCCGCATCTCGCTCAGCTTCCGGAGCTCGGCGGCGAAGTCCGGGGACTTGTCCGTCGAGTGCAGCCACAGCTGTTCCAGGTACATCAGGCCCCCTATCCGGCCCATCATCATCCTCGTGCCCTTGCCAGCACGCAGGCACCTCAGCTTCCTTAGCTCTCCGACGAATGGTGGCAGCTCTCTAATGCCGGTTTCCGTCACGTCGAGCGTCTGTAGGAGCTCGAGGCTTCCTATTTCCCTTGGGAGCTCGGCTATGGGAGTGCCCACAAGCCCAACGTACTTCAGCCCTTTCAGTTTACGGAGGTCCTTCAGTTTGCAATCTCTGACGGATAAATCACAAGCATCCAGATCTATTACACGCAGCCGTTTAAACCTTTGGAGTGGTGGTAAGCTACTGCCGGGGCACATGCTGGCATAGAATGACAGCACCTCCCCCACTTCCAGGCTAGTGTTTTGGTTTTGGCCCTCGTGGATGGCTAATCTATGAATGGGTCCGGTTTGGGATGTGCTCTCCCTCTTCATGCCTAGGTCTAGCACAGTGGAGAAATTCTCGCTGATTGACAGGTTGCGGATGAGGTCAAGCATCAAACCATGGACACAGCAACCACCTTGGCCGACGTCGCCAGGGCTCACCACCAACTGGATCATGCCTCTATCTAGTAGCTCGTTGAAATAGGTCTCCCCAGTTTCAAATAGCCCATCAGAAACAAGGCCTTCTGCTACCCACCTCCATATCAACATATTCTTCTCGATACATCGGTCTTCTGGGAACAGGCTTAGGTACAAAAAGCATTTCTTGATGTTATAGGGTAGAGCATAATAGCTATGAGCAAACACCATCAGTATGTGCTCAAAAGCCCCATCCTCCTTGTGCCCATCAAAACCAATAGAATCATACACCCTATGGCAGCCCTTGCTTTGATTTTTATTAAGCAAGTTGCCTAACATAGCGATAGCTATTGGAACACCACCACATTTACGCAAAATTTTATCTATCGCTGTGTCAAGGTTAGGATGATAACTTTCAGGCCCAACTTTGGCCCAGAATAACTTTTTGGACTCAGCGAGGCAGAGTGGTTTCATAGTGTACACGGCACCACCAACTCCTTTAGCAATATTGAGGTTACGAGTCGTGGTGATGATTTTACTTCCAACACTGCCCTTAGAAATACCTTCAACCAAGTAACATGCTTCGTTATCCCATATATCATCAATGACAAATAAGCACCTATCCACACCAGAAGGCAAGATTGAATCAACAAACATGAAAAAACTGATTGATTAAATTCCAAATTCAGAGGCAGAAGTCAGGGAAGAGCGGAATATATAGGGAGGTGCATGAGATTTACCAACAATTTGATTCATTGTAAAATGTTTATATCGCGATGATAGAGTTTTTAAGTTGCGCACAATACTGTTTGTTGTTAACATGGTATTATCGGTGTCATCGCAGGTACATGTTGCAACGAGTCTCGTGTCACTTCAATATATATAATCTACTGCCTCCATCCCATAATGAGTATATTGGTTGTAATTACCGAAAGTACCTTTCTACACCCAGGAGCAAATGCTCCTGGTGTGAACAGTACAATAAAGAAAATGAAAATAAAATAAAAAAATTCTGAATATTTTTTGGGACATACTTTCGCAAATATTTGCCGTGCATGGAAAATTTCATCACGAAATTACATTGGTGCAAGTCATGCCAAAAAAACAAAATGAAAGCTCCAAAATGCTTTTGTAAGTAACATTTTCAAAGCATCGATTTTGTTTTTTGTTTTACCACGCCTTCCGCCAATGTGATTTTGCGATGAAATTTTGCATGCACAACTAACATTTGTGAAAGTATGCCACAAAAGAAATTCAGAATTTTTTGAAATATTTTTTATATTACTATTCACACCAGGAGCATTTGCTCCTGGGTGTAGAAACTGCATGTCATTGTAATAACATCTTATATTATGCGACGGAGGGAGTAAATCACATATTAGCAATTTATAATTGCACAACCACACAATGAATGTTAGAAAGATCAGATAAATAATAACCCACCTAAGGATTGTTGGCAATGAGATTTATTCAGTTAATTTAGATTTCACTATCCATTGAGTATGTGCAGTTATGAATTCACAATTTCTGCAACGATCATATATGCAGACCATGTATTCTCTTAGTATGTTACCCTTTACTGAGATGGTAGATGGCACTCATCAACTCACGCGGCTAGCAAGGATAGATCTACAGGAATAGAAACCATGCATACCTTTTATGCACCAGGAAGTTCTGCAGCTGGCTGATTAGCTGGTGTTGGTCCGATTCGTGACCATAAATATCTATGTGAAGCTCATCGAAGATGTCCGTCAGAACCTTCTTCATATCAGCTCTCAGACCAATGAAAACAAAGGCCTCGCAATCGAAGCCCCCTGTCATCTTCATGTTGTTGTAGACTGCTCGAGCAAGGGTGGTCTTGCCCATTCCCCCCATCCCGACAATGGAGACATGGCCACCTTTGGATAGTTTGTTGGTCAGCTCGGCAACTGGCCCGTCCATGCCAACAAGCAGGCTAGATTCGCTTACCCTGGTTGACATGGCAAGCATACGAGGGTCGCATGTGGGAGTACTTTGCAGGGAACTACTACATGGATACGGGCCATACCGTTGATGCACCTCTGTAAACTTGGTGAGTGTTTCTTTGATGTAGCTGGCCATCTCACGGTTAATTTTGCGTGTGCTCACAGCAGGAAGAAAGGTGTCCTTGATCAACTCAATGCGCGTCATGAAGGAGTGGAGGCGTGTCTCGATGGCACGAGACAACTCCCTGACCTGGCGCGCCCTAAGCATCACACTCGATTCGAGCTGGCCTGGATGCATGCTGGATACATCATCAAGGAAATCGTGCATGCTGCTCAGCTCGGCCTCCAGGTTCCACAGCTCGTCCTTCACGGTCTTGTCCAGGCCCCAGTCGTGCTTGAGCAGCTTATCAAGAGACGGCACGGCGGGGACAAGCACCGCTGAGTCGACCTCGAAAGCCATGCTCGCGCGGTGGACTCTCTCACCCTCGCTTGCTAGCTAATTTCTTCTCCTCTCTCTTATTCCTATTGCTCTCTCTATTCCTCCATTGAGAAACTCTTGCTTGGTAGCTGGATTGCTTGGTTTGGGAGCGCATGGATATTGGCTATAGCTTAGCTGCTGCTGGAGCTAGAAAGATATACAAGCGCTGCCTGTGTAGTGGATGGAGAGGCATAGATATATGGACATATGGTGACTTCATCGAGGCATTTGACCAGATCTAGACCCATGGCGCCTCGCGTGCCATTAGGCTGGTCATAGTGGAGAGTAACTTAGACTAGTAACATGCATATGTTACTAGTCTATGTTACTACCTTCATAGTGGGTAGTATCATATATGTGATAACATAGATGTCTTCATTTATTACTTTGTAGACTCATTTTGCATTGGAAAGCGCTATGTGATAGTAACATATTATGTTACTCTATTTGCCTCTCTCCTTATTAACTACTTGCCACCTCATCATTTTTACTTATGTGGCATCTAAGTTACTACCTATGTTACTCCCACTACGACCAGCCTTACGCAACATCGAAAAAGACACGACCTCACTGATCTAGGCGGAAAGCGAGTGCAGTTCACGTGCCTGCAATTTATTAAGCTGATACTAGTAGTACTACGTACGCATACGATATTAAATGTGAGATAATCAAGGAGCCGCACGTCGTTCCACGCCATGCCATACAGCCAGTCACACAGGCGCGTGAAGACCTTGTTTCATACCTACTGTAGACTCTTGAGCCATATGCGGGCATGTGGCTACCCCTTGCCATGACAGTTCCAACTTGTTCATACCTAGTGCTACTACTACATGTCTTTTCGGTTCAGAAGTACTAGTAGTGCTATCAGTCTCAAAGACCAAAACATCTCTCACCACTATCAAACCTCAATCTAAGAAACATAGTATTACACACTACCGGATCCGGGCGCTTTGCCAGAGTGTTGCACACACTGGGCAAATTAAGGCCTCTTTCCAGTGGGCAAAGGCAGAGTGCCATCCCAGCACACTCAGCAAAACTGGGAGCACAGCAGCACACCATGTGTCCATGCTTTGCCGAGTGTCTAGCAGATGCGGGCACTCATCAAAGTTGTGTCAGCAAAAGCTCATCCGCGTGCATTGGCGGGGCTAGCATAGGGCATCATGTGTCCAGTTTTGTCGAGTGCCACCCATAGTTTTAAAAACTGGACCAAACAGGCCGTCCGACCAGAGAAAACCAGAACCGGCGACCGGTCAGGTTTTTTAGAAACACCGGATTTTATTCATTTAGCAGTAGCCCATCTGAGTGCAAAATGCCCCTCGGAAAGCCAGGAATTATATCTGAAAAAGTTGCAATATCATCTAACACTAGAGCCTCCTTAGCGCACATATGTGTGTGC